AGCATGCCAGGGGGCATTCTACTGCAATACAAACCTCATGAACTGAACCAGTTTGTCTAGCATCAAAAAGTTTGTGATGCTCCATGGTTCGTGAATTGTGCATGCCATGAACCACGAACTGAACAAACCACATTTTCTCACTTTGTGCCCATTTCTAGTCTTTATATATGGAGGGTCACTTCAGTAACTATGACCACTGATGGACCTATACTGTTTGAATTTGCACAACCCCCTTTTTAAAGCCAGCTACATTCGCGGTCATCTCTACACCCATTGCCAGTGAATTCCACAACTTGTTTACATGTTTAATAAAAAGGTATTACCTTTTGTGTGTCTTGAACCTATTGCTCATTAACTTTATTGGGTGCCCCAAGTTCTACTATTATGGGAGAGAAAGAAAAAAAAGGTAAGGGCCACATTAAATCCTGAACGGTTAATTATACTCTGTAATGTGAGATGGATTCCAGTCTTCAGAAAGAATGGGGTCTCTTGGAGCACCAGAACTTCTGAAAGGAAGCATAAGCTGCAGTACTATGAAGCTTTCATCTTGACAGCTATTGCAGGTGAGAAACCCCACTTATCCCATGTGCCTGGCTGAAATCAAGCACTTAAGTAGGAGCAAGAATCTGCCCTAGCAGGTTTGTTTGCAGCTATAAGAACTGAGGTGCAGCTGTAAGTCAAGCTGGGACATCCAAAAGCCTAGCCCAGATGGCTAAGGAAACACTCCCATGTCAGAAGATTGAAAGAAATGTACCTTTTTGAACATCTTTCTTAGTTAAGGAGAATGTCAAATGTCAAAAGGTTGTGTAAGGGGGTTCAAACAGTGTTATTAACAGTAAATGTGAATATAAAAGTGAGTCAGCTGTACAAATCATGCTATTCTCCCTTACTTGAACTGAGCAGAAGTCAGAGCATCCACATAGGTTTTGGTATCTGCAAATAATCAAGTCCATAAACTAAAAAAAGAATGACTGACTGAATGAGAAGCTACATGGAACATTTGCATTGAATTGGTTTTACTGGAAAAGATTAATTCATTAGTCAAATGAACACCCCACATGTACTGCATATACATTTGTCATCTATCATGGGTTCTCCCCACATCAGGTCCCATTTAAAACCTGTTTGCCCCCCCCCCCTTTAAGCCTACAAACAACAATGCTGGAGGCCCATTTTTAATTAGTAAAACCAAGCAGGGTCAGGTTTAAATCTCCCTCTTCCTTGCCTGCACAAGCCTGATCCAAATTGTGGTTGTGTGGGTACACATAGTTTACTTTCCACAGATTTATAGATCTCTCACATATCTTGTTTTAACCAAACGTTTATAAGAGGCCCTGATGACTTGAGGCACATGTATAACAGATTCAGCTATATTCTTCCTAAAGTGGTCTCCCCCCCCCCCCCTTCTAGGGCCTGTACCTGGACTACTACTTATTTAAAGCACTCTCATAGCAAAATCTGCTTGCTTAAGTCTATACACTACAGAGACGTCATAGATGAAGCAGAAATTTAGTTTCCCTTAATATAATGCTCCACATTTAGAAGCTTCAGCATGATCTGCTTTCATAGGAAGAAAATCTGTAATGTGGGGTACTTTTTAAAGAAATCTGAATTCTAAAGTGGTATGGGCTCATCATGTGTGAACTGTACCATGTGCTTTCCCTTGAATTTTGACATATGTTTAGTAAATGATTACTGATTCTAACTGTTTCTTTCATTAGTGACCTCATCCTTTCTCACTCTGAATATAACTGGCCCACCATCACCACAGTTGGTTCAGAAGATAAGAGTCCTAAAAATTAGAGCTGAACAGATCTCAGATAGCAATATTTTATTTTTTTTCTTTAAAATTGGTATGTTATTAGTTTCTTTCTACATTTTTTCCAGAGCTCTGTACAGTCCTCAAAAGGAAATAAACAATGTTCAATGTACAAAGTAAAAAACAGTAAACTAGAAAAATCTGAATAAAATGGAGCAATTTGCCAGCAAGGATACAGTACAAATTAGTAATTAGACATCTGAAGTGCAATACCACTGCAGTGAGGATGAGTTAAAGAATGAAATAAAAATACTCTATTTTAAACAAACATTATATATATATATATTTATATATTTATATATATTTATATTTATATGCATATATTTTACAGATTAGACCCAATGATATCTGGGGGAAAGTAAAAACATATTTACAAATAATTCTTTTTTAAAACATTTCATATACATCAGCACCATAGTTAAAAAACAAAACAATAAAACAAAGAGATTAAAATTTGACTCTTTATTACTTGGTCCCAGTCTAGAATATTTGGAGGAAGCTTTACACAGATAAATCGATTTGAGGCCTGATCACCAAACTGAATTCTAGTCCCTGAACCTCTCTGCAAAGGCAAATGTGAAGTTTCATTGCTCGTTAGATTTTGTGCAAATCAGAGTCCCAAATTCCTTCTCTTTCCATTGTCACCCATCCTAGGAAACTATCTGAGAGAGAAATGAGAACTGCTATTTTATCCCAATCTTACACTTCTGCACCCCTTAGCAACTGGTTTAAAGGAAGAGACTTTTTGTGCCCCTCCAATCTTCAATTAGCTCCTGCAAAACACACACACACACACACACACACACACACACACACACACACACACACACGGCTGATTAATGCAACTCTTCCCTGGGGCTAAAACCATAGTTCACTTTGGCACGCAGTGTCTGGGTGCCTCATAAGCAGTTCTCATCTTTTCTTACTTCATAGCGAGACTAAGTACATTGACCCACACAGTTCATCATGCACTGAATGGGAAGATGGTCCTGTTGTAATTCTGGAAAATAAAATACTTCACCACATGTCAAATCCACATATGTGCAAGTGCATGCACCAATCCACACTTTAGCACAAGCAGAAGGTTAAATGGAAAAGCTCCCACCCATGTTTTGTGAAAGCACTATTTAACTCTCATAGGAGTCAACAAAAGATTTTCCAATAATTTCAGCACCAGTATGTCAGACTGCATATGAGCAAGTTTTAGAAACCCACTAATTCAAAATTGTTTCAGTGGACCTAATGACATATATATATGTAACTGAACCACGAAAGCCTCCCACCTTAGCTTCCCCTCACTCCTCCAGGGAGTGCTGAATGTATGTTTGCTCTCACATTTGGGGGAGGGAAAGCAGCCAGGAGAGTGGCATTTAGAGTGGATCAAGTGGAAGGGTTAAATACCCCTCCCAACTGCTGCTTCTCTGCTAAAAATAGTTTGCTCTAGCAGTGGTTTTTTTGGGTTTTTTCTGGGAAAGACCATTGGGTTTCTGTTGCATGCATTTATGTGTAGGATGCAGCTAGGCCCAAGAGATCTGCATAATACCAGCTCTGTGTTCAACACTGGCAAAAGGTCTCAGGCCACCTTAAATGTGACTCGTCAGTTCATTCAGACATGACAATAGATCCCATGTAACAAGCCAAGGATAATGTTGTTTAAAATTTATTTTTCGGTTTGTTGATAAGCTTGCATTCAGACATCACACAAAATTGGACATTAATCAAACAGGTGTTTGTAAACCCTGGTTTGTTGTGATGTATGAAAACAACCAGAAGCTTAACTTTTAGTTCTTTAGGGCATACACAAAGCATTTTCAATTCTACTCACACAAAACGGTGGCTTAATTCCATGTGAAGATTTTTGGGTTGCTCAAAAACTTACGTTCAGTTACCAGTAGAAGGCTGCCATCACACACGCTAAATAATCCACTTTCAATGCACTTTCCAGCTGAATTTTTACTATGTGAACTGGAAAATTCCAATTCAAAAGTGCATTGAAAGTGGATTGAAAGTGGATTATTTCGTGTGTTTTATCGCAGCCCTATTACCTTAATGGAAGAATTTCTCCTTCCTAACTTTGTTTCTCCTGGACTAGCATAGGCATTTCATGAGCTTGTTTATTTTCGCAAACATGAATGACAGCACACGATTTGAGCAAATGTTTACCATAAACTTGCTTCCAACCTGGACAGAGATAAATGACACTGGTGCCTAAGGATAGCCAGCACAATAATCAGCCCTTCTTTGTGTGACCTTTATTCATGGTCCTCCTCAGCTCCTTAGAACACCAGAAAAATATTTCAGAGACTTGGAACATCACTTACCAACCCCTGTGTATACCAACCCATGCAAGACCCCACTCATCTTGCATTTCCAGGAAAAGAACAAGGTAGAAGTCAACAGTTTCAAATTCTTTGACATGTATCTCCATCCTTTTAATGCCATTTTTTAAAATGTGTGTTCCTATCTTTGGTGGCTGCTACATACTGAGCTTGTGAGCCCCACAGCCTTCACCTGTAAGAGATCTCTAGATTTCCCCCCATCATTAAAGTGAATCAAAAATTGAGGAATTGGACAGCAGAGGAAAGGCAAATGATCCAGATGTGAGCTTTCACTGCACCTAAAGATGATAGCCCACTAAATGAACCTACTCTGCTATGGGCATTTCCACTCACAGTCCATGATTGTTCTGTAACCACATAGCCCAGGCTTGGCTATTCATTAGAGACATAAGTATACAGAGGAAATTGGTATCTGCTTCAGCTACTTGTTCAGCACCTGTTCTGACCTGTGTGTTCATGGCGTGTACAAGCACCGCCCTGCTTTCTTGCAGGGAGCAGCTGCCTGTATCCTGAAAGCTACAACAGTGGGAGACCACACTGCTTCGGGACAGCCTGTGCTTTGCCACACTTAGGTGCTGCCAAGCCCTTTTCATGACCCAAGGGTGGTGGGGGGAGCTGTTTTGGTAGCCTCTCTCCCACAAGCAGCGGTCACCCTATGGCATGGAGCCTGCTGTGGTACAAGGCCTACTTGGCAACGCTTTCAACTCCATTGAAGCCATTTGCAATCAGCTGGTTTTCCACAGCTTGAAAAACAAAACAAAGAAACAAGGATGGACCACATCCTGCTTTCCATTTTTTTTAAAAACCCCATGATGGTTTGTAACTGTACACACACCCATGCACTATGGATTTCCAAACAACTCATCGAGTTCTTGCATCCACTCATCTCCCGGTCCACTTTTAATGATGGAGTCTACCAAGTCTGTGCCTTCTGCTAGATTTGGAAAGGAACCTCCAGCTCCTTCATTATTGTAACTATAAGACATGTCCTGAGTAGGATTCCTTTCATACACCTGACCTTGGTTGCTCTGAGTGAAGTTACCCCCTGCTATTTGTTGCGCAGGGGACTGGTTAAAACCAGTCATTGTGGAAACTGCCTGACTTATTGCAGGCATAACCATTGGTCTGGCTTGGTTATTGGTTCCTTGTTGTCCAGGAAGTGGTTGCAACATTTGCCTTCCCATGGCAGGGTTGAGGGTCCTTACTGTTCCACTTGAGTCCATGACAGCTTGACTGATGCCTTGTGGAAAATGTTGCTTAGGTAGCCTTGGCTGACCAGATTGCATTGGATAAGCTGTGCCATTATTGAAAGATCCAATTTCATTGCTAGTCCTTCCAGGGATACCTTGTAAGCCTCGTGCCTGCCAGTTCTGTGTGCCTTGTGGGACAGGCCCCATCATGCTTTGAAGTCTAGGAGCTTGTGGTCTGGGCAGAACTTGACCCACAGGTCCTTTCAGCTGCTGGTGCTGTTGAGATAAGGTGGAGTTCACCAGCATGTTTGGACCAAAGCTGCTAACCATGCCAACCCCTTGTGTTGAGGTGGGCTGTCTTGGCCCTTGGCTTGGGTTATGTGCCAGGCTCATGCTACTTTGGTTTGGGTGCTGCAACATTTGGTTCATTGCTGTGCTCATATTGTACATTCCTGGTTGGCTGGTTGCGGGGCTGCTGTAGGGCGCCATCCCCATTTCAGATTGTCCAGTGGCAGCAGACATCGTTCCGGCATTCTGGGAGGCCCCCATGGCCATCATGCTGGTGTTCTGGGACATCATTCGGGAAGTCCTCATACTCTGAAGGGCTGCTTGGTTCCTTGCCGCTGCTATTTCCTGCGGAGAACCTAGAAGAGGAGGAGGAACAATATGACACAATGAATTTCTGCCTAACACAAGCACATTCAGCCATAAGAAGATTTCAGAAAAATATTATTTTACACAATGATAACTCCATGGTTTTCCCTCGGATGGTCGTGGCCCCGCCCCCAGCATGCCCACGTCACTTCCGGGTAATGGGGTTGCGGCGCACGCACGCACTCCCAAAGCAGCACTGGAGTCCCCTGCTCCAGCACCGCTTCTGACTCGGCAACCCTAGACTGCAGCCTAAATTGTGGTCCCAAACACACCCATTTGATAGGCTGCATGTTTTTATCCAGATTTTTCTCAGAGGAGCTCAGGGCAACATACATGGTTCTCCCCTCCCTCCTCACAACAACCCAGAGGGGTAGGATTAGGCTGAGAGTGAGTGGCTGGCCCAAAATCATCCAATGAGCATGGGGATTTGAACCTAGGTGTGTTAGATACTAACTAGTTGGACATTCTAACTACCACACCACACTGGCTGTCTCATAAGCAAAGCACAGTGAATTCAACACCTTTATTATTAAGGTGCTGTTGTACAATAATATTAATGACATATAGAAGAAGAAGAAGAAGAATAGGAAATGCTGCTTATTCAAGTTGCTCATATGTAAATCAGCGGTAAAGGAGGAGGAGAGGAGAAGAAGAGATTGAATTTATACCCCGCCCTTCACTACCCAAAGGTGTCTCAGAGCGGCTTACAAACTCCTTTCCCTTCCCCTCCCCACAACAGGCACCCTATGAGGTAGGTGGGGCTGAGAGAGCTCTGACAGAAACTGCTCTTTTTTCAAGAACGGCTCATATCAGAACTATGGCTTGCCCAAGGTCATCCAGCCAGGTGCAAGTGGAGGAGTGGGGAATCTCCCAGATTAGAGTCCGCACACTCAACCACTACACCAAACTGGCTATAGGTAGTTTCCACATTGGGACAGGCTTGCGTAGTTTCCCCATTGCCAGTGCAGCTCCCGACATAGCACAGCAGCAACAGGACTTCCTCATTTCAGGTTTCCCTGAATTTTCCCTGCCTCGAATCCCAGCAATGACCACTCCCCCCCCCCAGGCCACTTCAGCTTCTTCAGTTAAAAAACCCAGCAATTTCTCATTGTAATATTGACATACCATTTTGTCAATACCACTTGAATCAGGTCTGCCATGGTCTTTGTTCACCCTTGCCATCACCACACATGATATGTGCAGGGCACATCCCCCCTGGACATGAGCAGTGGGCACAGATGGGAAAAACCTCCTCCAAGTCTTGCTGCCAGTGTGAAGTCTGGTATGGGCTCCAGAGGTACTGTCCTCAGCCGTGGTGGCAGTTCTCTGCTTCCCGGTCCATGACATTCCTCTTATTGCCCTGTACCTTGGTGGGGTAGCATGGGAGGCTGCCTGCCTGGGGCAGATTAATTACTCAATCTGACACATACTGGGAGAATTTAATCACAGTTCTCATATGTCACATTTTGCCCTTCAGTATGGACCCTGCAAGTCAATGTGTAGTTGATGTAATGCAATCTAAGACACTTTTGAGAATCAAATCCAGAGATTTTTGGGAGATGCTGCTCCAGGTTTTGTTTTTGTTTTTTTTTTAAAAAAGAATGTAAGAACAAATGGATCAGATCAGTGGTCCATCCAGTCCAGCATCCCATCTCAAGTGGTGGCTAACCAGTTAAGGTGGAGGGCCAACAATAGGGCTGAGGTCTTCTCTAATGTTGCCTCTTGGCATTCAGAGTTTACTGCCTCTGAACGTGGAGGTTCCCTCTAGTCACCATGGCTAATAGCCACTGATCTAACTTCCATGAATCTGTCTAATCCCGTTTTAAAGCCATCTATGCCTGTGTCCATCACTACAGCTTTTGGCAGAGAATTTCACATTTTAATCACTTGTTGAGTAAAAAAAGTATTTCCTTTTGTTTGTCCTGAATCCACTACCCATCAACTTCATTGGATGCTCCTGCATCCTAGTATTTTGGGATAAACCTCTATCATGTCCCCACATACTTGTTTCTTTTCTAAACTGGAAAGTCCCCGACTCTTCAGCTTTTCCTCATAGGAAAGGTGCCCCACTATTATCTATAAATCTGGGTCCTGATTTGGTTTTTCCTGCAACTGGCCAACCTGGAACTGACAGTCACAGACAGAGGATCAGGCCTAAAATGAGGTAGGTGTGTGTGAGTTAGAAATCTTTCTTTACAAAAAATTCGGAGCTGTAAAGCAAACAATGGCCTGACCACTAGCCATCTGAAAAACTCTTTTAAGTATTTCCATTACCTTTCAAAGCTAAGCCATGGAAATAGAACTGTCATACTCAGAGTGGCCAATCAATTATTTTACAGCTTAGGAGGCATAAGTGGATGGATTTTCTATAGTGTTGTTACTGATTATGTCTATGGAAAGAAGAAAAATGTTTTTTTCTGGACATTTTAAAACAGAGATGGTGTATTAACAAATCAATATTGTAAACACATTTACTCTACCTTGGACCAATGATGAGAAGCCAGAAATTCCTACGGTTGTTAAATTGTACACCCTGGCAAATAACTGAACTAGGTGGCTCCCTGATCAGGAGAGAGAGAGAGAGGAGTGGGTGGGTGGGAGGAATTATTGATTTCTGGAAAGCAAATATGCTCCTGTTGTTTATCACCTTTATTTAAAAATAATTACTGGAATTCTGATTATGCCAAGAGTTCATTGTGGCTTCAGTTCAATACAATGCTGAAGTAAATCACCCAGAATGACTTTCTTTTCTTTCTCTCTCTCCAGCTTTCAATAAAGTAAAAGAAATAGAATTTAAAAAATGCATAACATTTTCATACAGAATATTATATACACACACACAGAGAGAGAGAATATCTAGGAATTAAATATATCTATGTGATATTTCTCTCTCTCATTCACTGAGCTCACAAACATCTCAAGTGAGTACAACAGAAACAGTGAATCAGTTCTTAACCACTTGTCTGGATTTCTTTCTTGAAACCTGAGCTAGTAGGTCAAGTGTACCAGGAGCCTGGCAACCATGCCTAATGAGAAAGGAGGCTACCTGTAATGTTCCCAATATGCATGGTCACCATGTTATTTATTTATTTATCGTATGGAACAGTTACACACAGGCATATATTAATATAAAATATGTAACCAAGTTGATACAATGGGTATGCAGACCGATTGGGCAAGCCCCCTAATACTAATATCTAAATTTTCAATCCACTCAATCACAGCTGGGGAGAGTTCAAAGAGCTCCGTCACGTCACCTTGGAAAGCACGATGCTCACATTCCTGTGACAGATGGGAAATAGTTTGGTGGGCTGCACCACAATCACATTCGGGTCCTGGTATTTTGCCCCATTTAAACATCAGGTTTGCACAACTGCCAAAGCCTGTTTGTATTCTATTAACTGTCTTCCATACTTTACGTGGTAAGTCAAATCCTGTGGGCCTCTCATTGGTGTTTATCAGGTTATGGATATCAGGTGGAACTGATTGCATCCACGTTCGCCACCATCATTCTCTAGATCAAAATTTTGTGATTGCAGGATTTATGGAGACCTTATTTCTGGGTGTCAGGATCTTAGTCTGGATAGGCCCATGTCAAGCCATTTCTTTGTGGATGGGCAACTCTTTGATTTCAGTGATCTTTCTATATTCACGAAGAAGAGCATCTTGTATTTGGAGATATGGGGGAGCAATGTGGCACATACATCTGCTGATGGTTCTCATAGTTGTATTGAGTTAGACATAAAATCTGTGGACACCGGGGCTGTTGAGCAACAATGACGCACCGTATTCCACAGGACTATACACCAACCCCAAAACTGAACATCTAAGTGTTGTAGCAGACGCACCCCAAGTTCTACCACATAATTTTTGGACAATGTTGTTTTGCATGCATATTTTCACTGCTACATTGGTAGGATGGTCTTTATAGCTCAAGGTCCTGTCCAGGGTAATGCCAAGGTATTTAGTGTATGGTTGTGTGTAAGTCAGATGCCATTAAGGCAGACATTCAGTTCATGGTTGGCAAGATTGTTATTGAGATGGAAACAGGAACATTCTGTTTTTTCTGGACTTGGGATAAGCCACCGTTTACGGTAGTAGTCAACCAAGGTTTTTGAGGTCCTAGTCAGTATTTCCTCAGTCTCTTCAACTGATTTGTGCCTTACTGCCATTGTCATGTCATAGCCAAAAGCAAACTTCCTGGATATTGTTTTGGGAGTATCGTAGATGTATAAATTGAAAAGGAGTGGTGACCGAGCCCTGACCTGAGGTAGGCCATTATTCAGTTTCTTCTGCTTGCTGATTGACTGACCCATAATTACTTGGAAAGTTCTATCACTCAGCATGTTATTTAGGAGTTGAAATAATTTTCTGCAGGGGGAAATTTGTAAATTTGTAGTCCATCCCTCCAGACTGTGTCATAAGTGGCAGTCAGATTGACAAAAACTGCTGATGTCTTAAGACACTCTTGATACCCTGCCTCAGCGAAAGTTGTTAAGCTGAGAACCTGGTCTTCACAACTACAACAGGGTCTAAATCCTGCTTGCTCTATAGGGACATGTTTGTTAATTCTGTCACTGATTCTGTTCAGAATTAGCCTATCAAGGAGTTTATAACAGGAGCTCAGAAGGGAAATAGGTCTGTAATTTTCTGCCAGATGTTTTGGTTTTTCAGGTTTCAGAATAGCAACTATCTTGAATAGCATTCTTGAATTCCCCTGGGAGTCTTTCTGTTCCCATGATGTCAGTGAGAAACTTTTGAGCCACTTCTAAGTGAACGTGCCGCTGTTGGTCAGGAACCAGGGCCGTAGCCAGTGGTGGGGTGCAAAGGGCAGTGCCCTGGCCCCACCCCACCCTGAAGGGAGAGCTGTTCCTTAAGGGAGAGCTGTACTGGGACCTCAACTCGGTCTGGAGAGCAATTCTTAAGGCAAGCTACTACATGCCCTGGTGTCTCCTCGGGAGTAATGGCTGGCCCCAAAGCTGGCCCTGAAGAGATGCCAGCAGCATGGCACGAAGGCAGCATGCCCATGTGATGCTGTTGGAACAGGCCTGGCCAGACTGGAGAAATGCACTCTGGGAAGTGGAGTCTGTTGGTTGGGGCTGGGGTGCGGTGCTGCTGCTCTTCTCGCTGTCACTGCCGCCCCAGGCTGCCAGTGACAACGTTCAGTGTGTGTGTGTGGATGCTGGAACTGAGGAGTCAGGTGGGAGGGCGACCTGGAGTTTGGTGAGGCACTCGAGGCAAGTGGGGTGGGGGAGAGAAAGTTGCTGGCAAATCTTCTTAATTTAATTAATTGAAATAGTGCTGTCCCAGTGCCCCCCCCCCCCGGAAAAAATTCCTGGCTATGAGGCTGTCAGGAACTCATTATGGATGCAATCAAAGCCTGGTGCCTTTCCGCTCTTGATGTCCTTCAGTGCCTTGGAAATCTCATCAGCACTGAAATCCCCTGACAGCTCACAGTCTTCAGGGCAGATGTATTTCAAACTGGAGTTCCTTTTATCCTGATTGTAAAATCTCAATCCTTTGGAGCTCTGGCTAGATATACCAGCCAAGCAGCTACCTGGTTTGATGTTACCTCTGGATTTCCTTGGAGCACAGAAATCCAAACTCACAGTTGCTTCGGTCCATTTTTGTCAATGTGCAGCATTGAGTTCATGGAGTAGTTCATCTGCTACTTCTGGGTCTTTGCTGTCAAGGAAATTTTGATACAGCCTCTCGTTCTGATCGCTTCAGCCTGGAATATATTCTTTCTGATATCCTCAAGCAATGTGCCTTTTGGCCGTAGATATAACAGTTTCAGTGAATCGGTGGTAGTTATTACGTGTTGGAGGGACGCATCTAAAACACCTGTCTTCACTGAAACTGTTGTCTGAACAGGGTCAAGACATATTTTTGCATGTCCATACACCTTTGGTGCACATGAACCAGGACACTGGAAAACCCAGTGGTCAGTTTCTGTGTACTAAAGCTATATGATATGCAAAATACATGTGTTGCCTCATTCAGACAACACAGTGACTTGTGTATTAAGAGAATCTATGTGTGGTTGCTCGGTACCTGGTATGTGTGGATGTAACTCCTGAAAAGAGCTCAGCTCAAGAGTGTAACGCCTGAAAAGAGCTCAATAAATAAATAAAAATTAATAGAAACCCTCGCAAGGTGCACCATTCCAGGCTACCAGGCAATAAAAGTGTTCTAAAATATTGTGAACAAGAAGAGCTCTGCACCAGGGGAAGCTATCAACAGGGAGAAAAGTGCCTGGAGAGATGAAAAGCAGGGCTATGTCTACCAGGCAGGGAAAGGGCTTTGGTTTTGGACCATCTTTTCCCCCCCCCCCCCGTACTTTTAGCCCTTTTAAATGCACATCCTCTCCTTGCTTTAAGCATGAATGCAGCAACTCATATTTAATGATGTGGGCCTGCTGTCACCACATGCCGTCTGGGTATCATGCGATCTGGTTTCGGGTTGCTTACACTCTTCTGTTATTCCTGAAGTGGCCATTAGCCCTTTCTGTGGCTCAAATGTGTGGTCAATAGAGCCTTCAAACAAATTTTTAAATGTGTCAATAGCACCAGAGGGGCAGCTGCTGGCTCTGAGAAGCGGTGAGCTCTTACCTTGGAACTGGCTGACCTGTTGCACAGGATATGGATTCCGTTGCTGTTGCTGGAGGTGCTGTCGTGGCAAATGGGTCTGCTGCTGCATTTGCTGCAAACAGAAGTGAAAGAAAAGGAGTCAGGGAGGGAAGGTGTATTCAGCCTGCCCAATTATGACTTATGAGAGCAAACCAGAGGCAAGTGCTGACATTCTTGCACAAGGTGTTCTTGAACGACAAGTGCCTTGCGGAAGTGGCAGGCAGAGAGAGTGGTAAGTAGCCTTTGTGTGAAGAGTCCTGTTGAGAGCACTCAGCCCCTATGGTTCCAAGCACCATCTGCCTTCCCACCTCAGCTCCCTCTCTTGACTTCCCAAGGGCCTTGAGCACTTTCTCAAAACCCAGGCAAAGAAGGGGAGGTGATGAGATGGGAGGGCTCAAATGGGTTTGAAACTGATTTCATGAGTCAGAGTTCTTTGCGGCAGGCAGAGACCAAACTCTGATGACTTATGGATTCAGTAGGAAAGCCAGTGTGGCGCAGTGGGTACAGTCCTGGAGTAGGAATGAGGAGACCTAGGCTCAAATCCCAGATCTGCCAAGAAGGTGACTGGGTCAGTCATACTTCCTCAGACTAACCTACCTCACGTAGCTGTGAGGATAAAATGGAGGGAAGGGGAGAACCATATAAGCTGACTTGAGCTCCTGAGGGGAAGGGCAGGATATGAATATATTAGCTAAATACAGATGAGAACATCTGAAATGTGAACACACATGTGTAGAGTAAGGGGAAATTTTTTCCCCCTTGAGGATTTCCCCCCAATTTTTAAAACATAAAACCTGGTGAAATATATTACCTTTTGGAATGAATGAAATGCTTCATAAGACGAAGTGCTGCTTACTCAACATGTGAAGTGTGAAGATTTTAATGTACAAAAGTCTATGACATTAGATAATTAAAATTCTTCTGTTTACTGGACAACATATTTTCAAATATCTGTTTATTGTCCACAGTTAATACACTATGTTCTGTTGTATTACTCTATAAATTTAACTGCTATATTCAGATATACTGATAGTTCTGTTGGGACTGTGTGAGACTATTTCTGTTCAAATAAAATAGGTTCTTTGTTTACTACAAAATTTGTCTTTTAATTGCAACTTTTATTTTTCCTACCTTTCAGAAGGCAAAATTAAGATACATGTGCTAAGAAAGCACTGAGTTTGCAGCTCTCTCTCAAGTACTGGGTATATTTGCAATTTTGTTTGTGGAAAACAAAGTCATTTATACTTATATATATAAACATTTTGTTGGCAAACATAAATACAGTGAATGCTCCAGCACGAAATCTGTTTCTGCCCATCTTTTATGCACAATTGAGATATCAGGTAATCAGGCGGATATCAAGCCCTTGGGAAAGGATTGTTGAGTTCCTAAAATGTACTCATGGCACACTTGAAATGACTGTGCAGAAAAGCCATGTGCACCTGATAATACCTCCAATTCAGCTGCTTTATATACTGATTCTCTTATACCCGCCCGCCCCCATGGTCACTGATGCTACTTTCCAAACATTGCTGAGGGGGGGGGGCATGTGTGTAGGTACTTCTACCGCACATTTGTACTGTGCAGACGACTTGACAGCTGCACAGAGGTGGGGGTGGGGCATTGCACGGGTATCCACTATCCCTCCCTGTGCAGTGAGACAACACAAGGACAGGTCATTAGCACAGCACTTGTTTTAATACATAGCCCACAGAAAGAAATGCAGAGAAAGGTTTTCTGTTTTTGTTTTTTTTCTGGAGATACTTAACATATCTTGCATTCATGCTTAATAGCAAGTTGGGGTGGAAAAGGGGGTTCCCCCTCTAGAAAGTACTGCTGACTCTGGGACATTTTTCACATTCTCATCCAGCTTGCAGCACAAATTGCTGACATCAGGGGTTTGGATTGGTTTGCAGTTTTACTTAGAGCTGCTTCCTGTGTTGCTGTTTCTTTTCCCGTGGCATGACAATAATACAGGAACCATATAAAAAGTAAGGGAGACCTGGAAATAAGCACCCCAGAATTCCAGGAGGGAGAAGAATACTAGTGTGGCTCTTCCCATCTGATCCCATGCAATTCTTCAATTCCTAACTAGCCTGGAGCTCTGTAAGAAAGCAGCATTGGGGAGGGGAGAACAATAGCACTGACCCTCGTGGCACCATAACAAATGAATCAGACCCCATTCCTTGCCTTGTAAACAGCATCCATCTTGGTGTGGAAAACTGAATCAAACATTGTCATCCTTTCTAGAAATGCTGAAAGACCATTTACAAGGCAATCTTAAGTAAGAGGATCTCTTTGACATGCACATTGTCTTTTCCTCCACTCAGTGCCCTTAAAGACCAGTGCAAATAACTGCAATTCCAATTGTAGCATAACTTAGTGCTATTATTTATAGCGCATCTTTACGTGTTTTGTGTTCTTCTTCCTACTATTTTGAAAGAGAATGGGAAGCAATCTAGGCCAGTATTCAGACATCAAGAACAAACCAAAGGAGCATGGTTGATGTTGGCTGTGCATTCCCTCCTTCTCCTTCCTCCCTCACTTTCAAAAACCAAGACTAAGAGCTTCCTAGAAGAGGAAGCCTTTGATGGAACCACAACTGGTTGCATTATCTGAATCTAGGCGCTTCAACACACTGTTTATTTCAGGCCACGGTTTCCAACCCTAGTTTGTGGGCAAGAAACAAACTCAAGTTGGTTGGAGTACCCAGACTTGGATGACTCATTCATTTGTTCTTTATTACAGTCACTTGACCAATCATATAAAACATTTACACTTAAAAATTCAGGCATGCAGTAGACCAAATAAAGCGATTTAAAATTAAACTCTAGTTACAGTACAGTTTCTGAGACCTAAATATCACCAGCCAGAATCTAGCTACTTGATGAGTAATCTTGGCATTCTTATCAGACAGAAGATAATCAAGTCTAACTTTTTCAGTGAGACCAGAGAGTTTGCCTAACACAGACTAATAATCTCATCACGTGCTGACTTGGATGTCACAACAAATTGTACCAGGAAATCTTCAATCTTAGTGATGTGCAAGGAGAAGTGGGATGGTGAAGCCTGTGAATCCAAGAATAAACCAGGGCCATTATTGTCATGGACAAACTTGAGTTTGTTCATGATGTCTGGATAGAGCCTGAGAGAGAAACTGCTGGACTGAAGTGCCAAACACATAGTGAATCAACAGTTGGAGGCGGCTGAGGAGCCAAATCCTCTGGGGCTAAGCCCAATGTACAGGTTAGGGGCTGAATTGCTAATGTTTTCATGAGAACAAGAGCTGCCTGAATACATGAAGCCAGATACCAGAAGTTGCGGGGTCCCAGGGACCAAAGTAAATGTAAGCTGTAGTTCTGTCACTCCCCTGTTCATGTCTCTCTGTTTGCAATGGGGAGTACCATGTCAGGGACAAAAGGTGCAGTACCTGTTCTGCCAAGATCTGCTGCTGCTGCCGTTGCTCCCTTAGAAACTGTTGCTTCTGCTGCTCCATCATCTGGAGCTGGGCCCTCTGCTCAATCAGCATCTGCTTCATGATGACAGCTTGAGGCTGGCTGCTTAAGAAATTGGCGCTGCTAGGACTCGTGCCCACATTACTGGACCCTGGAGGCACAGAGGACTGCATAGGACCCGTGGGCCGAGACAGTCCCACCGTGTGCTGGTCCTAGACAGACAAACAAAACAAGACCAGAGTCATGTGACAAATCATGCGGTTGTGTAGGAATTGTGCCTGTATTTGCAGGAACAGTTCCGATAATAACACTTCAGAGTTTTGCAAAATATGTTGTCAAGGACTAGACACTATGCTTGTCATGGGGAATGGGATCCCATGTGCTGTTTTGGTATATCTCAACACATCAGCTGGGGGGCCTCCGCATTGTGAATTTCTGTACATTGATGGTATTTGCTGGTAAGGATGGGGAAAAACCTCACCATGCGATGGCCTGCCAAATTGAGTTGGTTTAAGTGACTGGAAGCTTGTCAAGGGGATCCCAGTCCTTGTACGGAGTGCACTGTCTGCACTAGCTCAAACTGGACCTACAACCAGGAGGGAAAGGAGACAGAGACCAAAAGGAGTGCAGAGACAAGGGAAGAAACAGGAACCAGAGATGGAGGCATAAATGATCAACTAGCTGCATTGGGGTACAGAAGCCTTAGCTACTGGAAGCCCCCCTAAAACTGCATTGGTTTCCAGGCTGTGGGTACACAGCAAGCAAATGGGTCGGTGCATATTCCTTCAGAGCAGTGAGAAACAACACAGATGAACCCAATGACCTTGGGCTGGTTGGAATTAACTGAGAAAGGAGAGGAAGTGATGTTAAAGGAAAGGCAGGGGATGGGTCAGGAGTTTCCAGGTAAAGTTTTAATTGTCATTTGCAATGCCAGAAATTCAAGATCCAGCCTCTGTCCCTTCTAAGAACGTGTCAGGATTTACATCTCACATACTTGATGGCAGGTGAACGGAAAGTAGATAAGGCCACAGAACACAATCAGGGTCCCAGTTCATCTGGCAAACATCTAGTTGCAGCTTTATCACAATCTTGGGCTAAAATGCAATTTTGGTGTAGTGGTTAAGTGTGTGGACTCTAATCTGGGAGAACCGGGTTTGATTCCCCACTTGCACCTGCTGATGTGACCTTGGGTCAGCCACAAGCTCTGGCACAGCTGTTCCTGAAAGAGCAGTTTGTGTCAGAGTTCTCTCAGCCCCACCCACCTCACAGGGTGTCTGTTGTGGGGAGGGGAAGGGAAAGGAGTTTGTAAGCCGCTCTGAGACTCCAAGTGAAGGGCGGGGTATAAATCCAATCTCCTCCTCCTCCTCCTCCTCATCGCATCTTTTGGGTTAAAAGGATGATAGCCAAGTTCTCTAATGTCACCAGTTAGCTACCTCTCAAAATCCTTGGTCCCCTTTTATGTTCATACAATCAGGGACTCAAAAGACACCTCCATTATATCAATTTAAGTGACGGTAAGATCTGAGCCTGGCGGCAGGATTCACTGTGATTTAAAGAGACTGCTTTGTGTGAATCTCCCTCACACCCCATGTCTTTCCCACACCTTTTCCTGTGATGCCTGCCTTTTCAAGGCTTGGTCAGAGGGAGAGGGAGAGAGAGAGAGGCCTGAAAGGATGCTTGTTAGCAGTTCCGTGAGCACAATGCCGATCGCCTCCTTCCTTCTCTCCCGGTGTAACCAAGGGCGATTGCTATGCAGGAGAGATGCACCGGGAATTCTCCCAGGAGGTTGGAACTTAATTATGAGCAGCCCTGAGAGGCGCGACTGGAGGGAGGGCTATGCCTCTTAGAAAAACACTTTCTGCTCCCTCGCTCCCTCCTTTCCCCCCTTGCAAGTGAGAACTCGAGAGGCAAGCGTTGCCGTTAATAAGGCCCTGAGCACTAGCAAAATCTTCTTTAAGCTCTGAGCGGAGGTCTCACATGCTGCTCAGGATGCTGGGGGTACATCTCACCTCTCCTTGTAAACCCATCCACGTCTTAATACTCTAGGCAGCCTCTTGGATGAAGCAGCAGGTGTGTGAAAAATCGCCTTGGCGCACCACTCCTGCTATGTGCCAGCAGGTGGCGTCACAAGCCTAAGCCTTGGCGCTTCTGGCGGGCTGGGTGGCTGGCTGGCTGATCGCTATCCGAGGCTCCCCCTCCTCCTGCCTCTCCACCCTCCCCCACGCTTGCAGATGGCTTAATCATGACTACTGTTCTGTCCTCCTCCTCCTCCTCCTCCCCCTAACACCCCCCCCCCAGTACTTCTGGGATAATGCTGCTAACGGAGAGCCAGGCAGTCAAGTGTTACAGCAGAGAGCAGGTAGCCTGGCAACTGAGAGTATAATGCCGAACAGATGGTGTTCGTACAGCATGATGGACATCACACACGACAGCCTGAGACAATCCAGGAATTCCCGGGTGGTTTGAGGCCCTCTTTACGCAAAAAAGAAAAAAAAGAGCCTGCTGGCTGCTTTGGGGATATTTTCGCCCTCTCCTCCCAGTCTGACATCGAACCACTAAACTGATTTCATGTTACTCCTGTTTTGCTAACAGCACTAAAAGCGCAGTGGTCTGGTGGTGTGCGTGGTGACACACAGAAGGATAAGTTCAAGCCACCCTGAATTAATAAAAGGCTAGACTAGGCAGGGGGGAGAAAGAGGCTCTGCCTGACAAAACCCTTGCCTGATAAACTGCTTACTTGTCTGCGTTTGGGAAAGTGGAGAGAATCCAGTGTGTGAGGGAGACGTGTGCACAACAGGTAATCCTCATTCAAGGCTCACAACACAAAGGCTCACTTGGTTGCTTGTCCTCATATTATGAGGGGGGGTGTTGGGGGGAGGGGAGTTCCTTGGGAAAAGAAACCTTAGCCCTGAATCCCGCACCTCACCCTCTTTCCCAAAACAAAGGTGCAAACGGCTCTTCCCCACTGGCAGAGCTGCAGGCAGCACGGAGGGCTCAGCCTCCAAATCCAAAGCGATGCTGAGGGGACTCCTGTCACCTCTTCCAGAGAGCCTGCTGCTCTTGACTAATGAGCTCAGGAAGCTGAGACAAACCCAGGCAGGCTGTCAAATTTCCCAACACAATGCATAATCTGTGTCTGCGAGGGGGCTCAGGAGAGAGGGAGCAAAGCTGGAGGATAATTTTTTTCTTTCCTGAGGAGCAAGCTGGAGGGAAGGGAAGGGCTATACAAAGGCCACCACAACAGGCTTCTCCAAAATAAAAACAGAACTGTTTCTATCCTCAGACATGTAGAAGTACCCTAAAGAAAGGTGGGTTGGAGGTTTCACTGAATAAACAGTGGGATTATTTAGCCTTCAGAGTGCTCTTCTCCTTCCCCCAGTCCTATTCTGAAGGTGTCTCCCCACCCCCAGCAGTGATTTACGGGCAAGGAAACAGGATTTCCAGTGCTAAGGTCAGAGCTGGCCATCAGACACTGACTTGCTCTTGCTGCAAGAATAAACCTTGGGCAAGCTTCCAGAGTTCCTGCAAGGCTAGCCTGGCAATCAGAAAGAGTGATACGTGGCAGTCCTGTACACCACAGCTCCTCTAAAAGAATACCTTGTTCTGTAGGGGATGCTCAGATTTCATTGCCTTTGTAAGCCCACTTGTAGCTGTTATGGCTGAGGAGAAAAATCTCAGCAACTCAAACCATATCATTAATTCCAAACCAGGACTCATCTCTGGACGCAAGAGCCTCATGGGCAAATCTTTGTTCTATCTGTGGGGTTCAATATTACCTGTAGTGATTTTTGCCCACTACCCAGTATTTACCATCGTGGGCACACTTCTATGTAGACCTTATAGGAGCACTGTGCACCTATGCCTGATTGCCATCTGGTATGTTGTATTATTTCTCACTTTGTATAGCTTAACTGAAAGAATATTTTAAATATTTTAATTGTCTTATCCATTTGTTGTAACTTGCCCTGAGCCCGCATTGTAGGGGAAGGCAGGATAAAAGTCAAATAAATAAATAAATAAATAAATAAATAAAGTGGTGGACTTTGGAGACCTAAGTTCAAACCCCAGGTTAGTTGTGGATTCATTGCACAACTGAAGAAATACTCACGTAGCAAATCTGTGCAACCAAACTAAGAATCACCAACTGTCAGCCCAACAAATATGGATTCACTGGGTTCTGCAGGTATCTTTTGTGTCTGGTTGAATGGTAGCAGGAAAGGGGGCAGCAGTGAGGGTGGGAAAACAGGGACAGCAGGACAATGTAAGCACATACCAGTTTTGGCTACACATACTAACCAAGGCAGTTAATTTCTGTTATCACACCCAATTTTCATCATAATATATTTGTGTGGAAACATTTGCTCCTCTTCTGAGTGGTACGCATCCTCTTCACACGTAACACATAGTGATGCCTACAGAGATATTTTCAGGGTGGATGCTATGGGATGTCTATTCTAACATGCCATCGCACTGTACCACACATTAACTTAATGGCAGGGATAGGTTGAGGCAATGCCTCAGCAGCACTGCTAGCACCATGGATTTGTCTTGGACCTGGCTCCAGGTGGCAAAGATGGGCATAAGTCACCCCCATTCCCTTCTACCATCTCATTGACCCCTTGAAGTGCTACCAGCACCCTTGGGGCTAGCCTTGGTTGCTTAGGCAGGGAACTGGCACTATGTGCCAAGAAAAATGGTCTGGTGTGCTGCTGTGTGGCATGCCTGGCAGGGGCTGCCAATTGTTGATTCAGAAAATCCAATACAATGAAAACACAGTCCCTGTGCAGGGACTAAAAAGAGGAGCCATCATAGTCTTCTGGGTAGATGTATTCAGTGAGCATTATTTAAGTCTTCAAGGTAGGAATAATTTAGGGCTTCAAACTGGAGAAACAAGAAGGAACAGCTTCCAGTAAAAAGTCAAACCATGAACCACATAAAAATCAGGAATATTCCACCACAGTTATAAGACAGGCGTCTTCCTTCCTCAGGCCTATGAAAGCATCCTCCATTGGCTGGGCCAGCCAATTCCGGTCACAGTACAGGCACACAGGGTTCATGAACTCAGAAACTCTTTCCCATTATATATATTGGACTCTTCCAATGATTGTCTTAAGCTGTCTTGTGTTCCTTCTGGGAAAAATATCCAGGTATATATTTTAATGATAAAATGTAACAATACATTATAACGGGCCCCAATTAACTAGAGTTGTCT